GTGGTTGGTGTTAGGTGGACAACATGAGTGAAAGTGGTCAACTTTTTGATAGAACATTCTCTATTAGAGTCATGTCCAATGGGCAATGTCTGACACATATCGGGAAAAGGCTTATGCTGATAGGATAATCATATTAGATTTACGTTTGCTTCCGGTCAACCTTACAATCTCCTAGCTCAATTAATTTCAAGATAATATATTTTTATGTAATTTGTCTCTACTACTATTGGAGTTAATGCTTGCTTTGTCATTAGAAAATGTTGCTTTTTATCAATTATTCCAGGAGAGCCTGTATATCCGTTAACATGTTAAGTAATGCTAGTTTTCTGCTGTCCTGTAAGGAAATCTCTCTAATGCTTGTTCCCTGAAAAAGATATCAGTAACACCCATACGCTATTGTAAACAAATATGATTTATCACATCCATAAGTCAATTGTTGGAGCAGCTCCATCTTTATTGTTGTCTCCATATCTTGAAAATGATGATAAAAGATGTTTGAATTATTTTGTTAAGTTGTTATCCCTTCAGAGGCATCAGACATACTTATTAATGTAGCTTGTATCAGTGTATACTTCAGAATGCATGTGTTATAACTTCTACGTTGTTTGGCCATGCTGATCAAATTCCTTTTCATCAATTTCTAGGGGAAATCTGTTGTTCAATGTGCAACTATAATTTTTTATGAGTTTTTATTTTTCTCTTCTCTAGTTGAATATGAGAATCCTTTAGTCTAATAATTGCGTTAATATTATATTGCTGTGGAACTTAAGCCCTACAATTCATCATGTTGGATGGTTTGAAATTATAGCATGGGCTAGTATTGTGGAGCACAAGTTTCTTATTATTTTAATCTAATGATAGAAACGAGTATGCTTAAGTCATTTCATTTTTCTCTATATATAGGATCTTCTCCAAATGTTTGGTTTGCCATATATCATTGCACCAATGGAAGCAGAAGCTCAATGTGCATATATGGAAATATCAAACCTAGTTGACGGCGTTGTAACTGATGATTCTGATGTTTTCCTATTCGGAGCTCGCAATGTCTACAAGAACATATTTGATGATCGAAAATATGTGGAAACATACTTCATGAAGGTTTGCAGTAGAGCTCCATGCACAAATATGTTCCTTTTCTGTTTGTTTCTAATACATTCCAAGCATTTATGTATGCATTTTTCCCTCATTATTCTTTGTCTTTTAATTTGATTATTGATTTAATCTGCAGTTTGACACACTGCCTGCATGAACTATTGATAAAAGCTGATTTTCTTTTCCCATCTTTATGGGCAGTTCTGTTACTTAAAACTCAAATTCTATGTCTGTGTTTAAATGATTTCGCTTATCTTTGCCTTTGTTCTATCAGGACATTGAGACTGAGCTTGGTTTGACTAGAGAAACATTAATACGCATGGCACTGCTTCTTGGGAGTGATTATACTGAAGGAGTCAGGTATTATCCAATTTTGTACTGGTTAGCTAACTTTAGTATAGAATTATAGTTAAATTGACTATAGTAACTTGCAAGGAGAGTTTAGAAAATACCTGTCATGCATGCTTTGGAGTCAACATATACCTACCTACCTTCATATGTAGGTGCTAACAAGCAGTCCAGCACTTGCAAATAACACACTTCAGTTTAAATTTTTTTGTCTACCGGTTTTAGCCTAGAGATGATTGAACTAAAAGAATCAGATTTTAGGATGCTTAAAACCATTCAGCTTGAGTAGAGATATCATGATTGCAGGCTTGGAGTTTCATTGAACCTCTTGATTCTAATTCACATGGTTTTTGGTCATGTAAGTCACAATGAATGGTTCATACCATCTATTTGGATGATGCATTGTGCATTTCCATCATTGTGTATACAAGCCAATAGATAATTCTAGCTTATTGATCAAGGAGTTCGCTGGACATATATTGCATAATGCATAAACTTGACATTTTGTGAATTTGTCCGCTAACTTGGCATCAGAGCACCAAGTTTCAAGTGGTACAGGGTGCAAACCTCATCACAATTTTTAAATATGTTTATTTACCGTTAGGCTATGTTGCACGGGTAGTGGTATGGGTACATGACACGGTAAATTTGCAAAAGGTATGGTACGGAGACACGGCTATATAAATATTTACCTACACATATATATTGAAATTAATAGTTTATATGAGATTAATATTTTTTATTCAAGTGTTATGAGAACTAAAATTCCTATGACCTTTTTATGTTTCTTTTGTTATGTGGGCCATAAATTGTAAAAACGCTGGTTTTTGAGCTAAACACACAAATGACCATTAAAATCATAGTTCGGAATCCAACGAGTTTCAAGAAGTGGATGTGAAGTACGGGATGTAAGCCCAGGAAATGTTTGACAAGTGTTCTAAATTAGAACATGTATTGTTTAATTAAGTACATCCTAGTAAATGTATCCATATATGCAAGGAGTCTCCAAGGAATTTGGGGACGGGTACATGTTGGGTACGGGTACGGCTTCAAGATAGTTCAAGATAGAAATACCCAGGTAATATATCCCTTAGGTTATTCGGTCTTTCTGTTTCTGTGCAGGTTTCGTACATGCTGGAGGCAGTCCATGGGCCCAAAAGCCCGTGTGAAGGGAATTTAGGGGCTTCTTGATATACATTCATGGCTAGCATCCACAATTTTAAGCTTTTGGATAAAGTTAATTTTCTGATAGAAGGAAAAACATATAGTTGTTCTGAAGACCTTTAGACCCACTTGAGATGTCATGACGTATATGGCTAAAAGTTGAACCACATGATTTTTTTTTAGTTCACATGGTTCTTAAAGATATGTTTATCACATCTTGTGGTTTCTCGCCAATTTGGATGCTTTCGTACTGTTGTAGATGTTTAGGAAGTTCTTAGAAATACATGTGTGTTGGAATGGTTGACGATTTGACACAAATGGTAATATACCAAATCACTCAACTACAATCATATGCAATGGGCCGTCCAAATTCCCGATCCAGGTAGACAAAAATCTATAACTTTGAACAATTAATAAAATAGCGATATATTAGCAAATCGTAGAAACTGGTGCTTTGTAAAACTGGGGTTGTTGGCACTTATCCCAGCATTAGTGACAAGCCAATTTTTAATTTATACTGTGGAACTGTTTAATATATATCTGTTTTGACAGATCAAAGAGAACTATATAGCTAATTGAATGGGTATAGAATTTTGCGTAAGATGGAGACTGTTAATTTAAAGGATGCCATGAAATATTGAGAAGGAAATTGTGTAGTTTTTTACTTTTCTTTGTTCGTTGATAATATGTAACAGTTTGATAGGCTCTCACGGTGTCAATGCTAAGCTTGATGCATGATTATCTTTAACCTTGTTTAAACCCCATAATTCACAAGTTACCTAATTATCATTTACAGTGACAACACAACTTTACATAATGAATGGTAGAAGAGAAACAAGGGAACTGGTCGAATTTTTGAGCTTTCATATGTGCTTTTCAAACCTTTTAACAGTCTCCAGGACCAGGATGAGAAATTTATGAGGTTAGAACCAATTGCATGTAGAATCTTCCTTGCTGACATTTATCCTCTGTTAACTAGTTTATAGACGAGGAAATAAAGGAGGCAGCTCTGGCCTTTAGATCCAAAGTTATGGTTTTTTTCTGAGTGGATCTATGTCTTGCTTTGTATCTAGAGGGATTTCACTTCTAATATTATATGTGAGCTTGGACCCAGTGACTGCAAGATGGATATCTGAGTAATGGACTTTCAGTTCTTATTTTCAATCACTTAGAAATTACAACAAGAATCTACATTCTGGACAAAGTTAAAACCAACGAGTCTAATGAATGTATAACAACTTAGGTGTACATTGAACAAGTTCACTGCTAAAAGTTTTGTTAGTTTATAAGAAAAAGTTTCTTATACATTGTGGACAAACTTAAAACCAATTGTTTACTGCTGCTTTTTTGCTGATATTTTGGGTGCAGTGGAATTGGAATTGTAAATGCCATTGAAGTTGTACGTGCATTCCCTGAGAAAGATGGCCTCCAAAAATTCAGAGACTGGATCGAATCTCCAGATCCTTCTATTTTAGGAAAATTTAATTCTCATACTGGTAGCAATTCCAAGAAAAAGTCATCAACGTCGGGAGATAAAGGAGGTGAAATGAAAGACACTGCAAATACATCTTCATTTGAAGAGAATGTTTCAAGAGAGTATGTAGATCAAACATCTGTTGATGACATCAAAGAGATCTTTATGACTAAACACGTAAACTCTACTTGTTCCTTATATTCTAAGTTTCATCTATTTGTAATTTGGTGATCTTGGTTATTTCTAACATTTTGTCTTTCACATCAGAGAAATGTGAGCAAAAACTGGCATTTACCTTCAACATTTCCTAGTGAGTCGGTTATTACGGCATACATTTCCCCACAAATCGATGATTCGACCGAGCCCTTTATGTGGGGGAAGCCAGATTTATCACTACTAAGAAAGTAAGTCACGACAACATTATTACTACTTTTAGGTACATTTTTCTCCTGCTTTGTGGTTAATTGTTTCAGGATTTTATCTGTTTAACTTGTGCTATATCATCACACTATCATAGTTCATTCGAGTATAATTTCTATATTTTGGTTTGCTTCAAAAGGTTACATGCTGTGTTATCTGAAGTAGTTGTTGTCTATTTTCTTTTAGTACTGATTATTATGAAGGTTATAAGTTATGCGACTTACAGTGCAGAGTAGCATCTTAAGTCGAGAATCTCAAGATGATGCAACTCCCGATCACTTTTAAGGGTGTCTTACTTGCGACAAGTAATTTAATTGAACACCCCTAATTCAGTGATAACTCTACACGACCTAAAAAGGCTAAAATTATAAATATCCTATATATCTTAGTTAAATTTGAACAAAAAATGACATGTAAGCAAAGAAAAGGAAGGCAATAGGAATTCTAAAGGTACTAGGAATCTAATAATGAGACTCTTCCAGAACAAATCTACAGTTTGATCCCAATTATAGTCACTATTTGAGTTAATGGAACTTTAGTAGCATGTCACTTGTAAAGCCGGTTGGTGTTGCTAGCTAAGTAGTGGCAGTTTGTTCTTAATAATATCTGCGCATGCTAAATCAGGGTGTGAGCAGAAAGCTATGGCATGTAGAACAGATACTCCTGCTATCTGTCTGTGTAAGACGTGAAATATGTGGTAACTTGTGCAATATACTTGTTTGGGAACTTGCAAACGTGCTCACATTTATGTGTTGTGTATCGTATGAAGTTTTGTGTTCATGTTTCTTACAAAAGAATTCCATGTTAACTTTTTTACTTTATTCTACTGTTTAATTGATTTCCTTGTCTGAACACAAACCAAATGAAATATCTGCTTATCAGGAGTTTGTTGAATTTCTGGGTAATACATCAGTTCCACGTTGTGGAAGAATTTGTTGAATGTTATAAATTTTTACATTCAGAAAGGGCTGGGTAGTTGTAAATGACAAGACCACTTAGGTGAACTTTTACTTGCTAGCAGGAAGGAGTTCATTCTACAAGTACGAGCAGAAGCTTATACTGTTTGCTCCATGAATAAAATATAAGCAGACTATCCAGATGTTTGCTTATATATATATATATATATTATATATATATATATATATATATATATATATATATATATATCATATATATATATATATATATATATATATATATATATATATATATATATATATATATATAGAGAGAGAGAGAGAGAGAGAGAGAGAGAGAGAAATATGGAGAAACTTGGTACCAAGTTCTTGCATTGAACTTGGTAGTGAGGTGGCCAAATCACCCCCCTACATCACACCTTGAAAATGGAGCCTCTTTTTAAAAGTAGGTGAATAGTGATTGAGGCTCTCTCTTCAAGGTGTGATGTAGGGTGGGGATTTGGCCACCTCACTACCAAGTTCAATGAAGAAACTTGGTACCAAGTTTCTCCATATTTCTCATATATATATATATATATATATATATATATATATATATATATATATATATATATGTATGTTTATTATTTCTCTTCTTCATCTTTCTAGTTACCTATCCAAAAAATTAGCTGAGAGCTCTGTTTCACTCTATAACTGGACTATGAGTTTACTATTCTGCTACTTAAGGTCAGCAGATTTTTTCCAATCTGTAAAATCTTACCAATTTTTACATTCAGGAAGGGCTAGGTAGTGTTGAAATGGACAAGACCACTTAAGTGAACTTTTACTTCCTACGAGGGAGTTCCTTTTCATTCACAGAGTAGGGGTAGGGTAGCGAATTATTTGCATTCATTTTCGTGCATAAAACTGCTTTGACAGTAGCAGTTCCTGTACAGGTTATGTTGGGAAAAATTTGGATGGCACAACAAGAAGGCAGATGAGTTGCTTGTGCCCGTTCTGAAGGAGTACAACAAGCATGAGGTTGATTATTTATGCCATTGTCTTTTATAGCGTAATTTTGTGTTTGCTATATTGGTTATTTGATTTTTGGTGGGCTTCATCAATCATGTACTTGTGTTCTACGTAGGATGGTCTCCAGCTCTACTTATCCATTGTTTCGGTGTCTGCCACAAATTCCTAATTAGTGTCCCTATTTATTACCCATTGTGTGTGAGCAGGTGTGCCTAAGCGCTTCATCAGTCACGTACTTGCATTCAACACATGAACTAGCTGAATTCTGTTACTTTATTGTCATTCTTTTCATCTCTACCAAAATTTATATGGTTTAACTTCCCTATGTATGAACCTTTGTTTATATCCTTCTGTCAATCTCTGTAAATCTGGACAAGCTTTTAGCGGATATCACATATAAGTATACATTGTAAACAGCTGCATGAGACTACATGCATTGATGGTAGATCAGTAATGGAGATCCCAGTGGAAAGCAAAAATAAATTTAGTTTGTAGCTAGATTTCCAAGGACAAGCTCTATGCAGTTCTTTCCAAGCCTTTGATTCATTATCAGTCCTGTTAGATATGTGTTTTATAGATTTGTAATTCTTAATCTAGCTTGTGTTTTCTTATACAGACTCAGCTGAGGCTAGAAGCATTTTATACATTTAACGAGCGGTTTGCAAAAATCCGAAGCCAGCGAATTAAGAAAGCTGTGAAAGGAATTACTGGGAAATCTTCTGTGGACCTGATGGATGATCTTGTACAGCCCTCTAGCTCTGGGAAGAAGAGGGGTGGTCCTGCTGCTTTGGAAGACGATAAATCTAAAAATCGTTCTGAGGTAAAGGATAATAGTAAAGGAAAAGCTTCAAAAAAACCAAGACGACAGAAGAATGAGGGCAAAAGTATGCAATCAGAGAATGGGGGTGGAGATATGCTTCCTCCAGAGGGAAGTCAGGCAACTAATATAAGTGGTGTGGCTTCAAATTTGAGAGGGAAGAGAGGGAGAGGAAGAGGGAGAGCAAGGGGAAGGGGGAGGGAAAAAGAAGAGCTGAATGATGACTCTACTGAAGTAAGTTCTAGTGATTGCGACGACAGAGGTGAAATCGAGAAGCATATTCAAGAACCAGAAGCCATGTCAGAATTACGCAGGGTAAGTATGAAGCCTGTTATGCTTTTCTTCTTTTGCTAGTTACTTTAACATAGATAAAGTTCATTTCTTTCAATCTCTCTTTGTCCTTGCTTCTTCTCTCTTTTTACTCTCATTACGTTTGCAGTCAAAAAGACGCAGAAAGCATGTGGAATACGCTGAAGAAGAAATGCACGTGGGAGTTGATGTTGACGGGTCAAATGATGCGGCTGAGAAGCAAGAACCAGTTGAACAAGGGAACAACATTAGGACTGCAGATGGATCTGACCAAAAGGAAGGTGATAACCATAGCCCTGATGTTGGCTTATCTGGAGACTACCTTCAGAGTGGTGGTGGATTCTGCGTTGATGAGAGTGAAACACAAGGTAATACCCTTGATTGTCAAACTGGTCATCCAAATATGTTGACTGGCAATAGCCATTCCGGAGATTGTCTCCTGGCTGGAGGTGGCTTTTGCACGGATGAAAATGAGGTGCAAGTCGATACAACAACTCATCTTGATGCTGGCTCAGCAAAGGCAGATAAAGAGCCTTGCGGCCTAACAAACAAGGAACCTACAGGAGGAAATTCACGAGCAATCAAGCATGGGGATTCATCGTGTTCCGAGGGAGCTGAAGACGAGGGCGAGATAAATGTTGGCTTGAGAGCCATGCCTTCCCTGAGAAAGAAGCGAAGGAAAGTGTGAGCAGAAAGATTGTCAGCAGGTATCTTTTTTGTTGTCAAGTGTATATTTATCTGAGAATCAGCGGTAGCCTACACTTATCTTCCTCTTTTACTTTTTGTCAACCTGTTGTGCATAAGTTGTAAAGTATAAAGAAACCCATATTTAAAAGCTGTTATTTTTCTGAAACGTGCAGTGAAAACGTATCGTGGGCCTTTTTACCCCCCTTTTGAGGTCATGGCTTCATTGTTAATGTGGTATAAATTGAAATGCACCGCCAGCAGTGTTTGAATAACGATTACAATGTCAATCGATACAAGTAGACTCGTCTCAACTCGTTCTTTCATGATAATTAATAGGACAGTGACGTCTCAAAATTCAGCCAGGTCAAATTTCTTGATCTCTCTTTCGTCATAATCTTTCATAAAATCACCGAAAGTCATAATGTTGAGCATCAGTTTACTTGTTCTCTTCGGTTATTATTGTTCTTGTGACCAATCACTCGGCGGTATCTGTTTCAGCTCCTTTCTGGTTATCCCCCTCATATGGTTGGGCTAGCACCTTATAATTAGTTATCACACGTAATCTCTGGCTTGTTTCGATCCAATGGTAATAAGGCATACCTAGAATTCACAATTTACAAGAGTTATAACCCACTATTTCGATCTGTATTCCTTCGTTTCGATACATTAGCAATTAAGTTTTCTTTACTCAAAATTCTTAATTTTCATGAATTATATAATTCACAATTTTTGTCTATTTTTATTTGTTTTGACTTAATGAGAAATAATTTTACTTACTTTAAAATATGTGATTTTGTGGGCTACAATATACAACTTTTGTCCATTTTCATTTGTTTCAACCCAAAGATATATAATACACATACTGCAAAACATGCGAGATTCATGGGTTACAATCCATGATTTTTGTCACTTCTTGTTCGTTTGACCCAAAGTCAATTCATTATGCATCCTCAAAATTTATAATTTTCTTGGGCTATAATCCACGATTTTTGTCTATATATGTTCGCTTCAACCCAATGTCAAGTAATTGTGCACACACACACAAAGTTTACGATTTTCATATAGGCTATATAACCCACGATTGTTGTCCACTATTGTTTATTTGATCCAATGACAATTAGTTAAGCACAATTTAAAATTCACAATTTACATGAGCTATAATCCATAACTTTTTGTCCATTTTTGTTTATTTCAATCCATTGATAATCAATTGTGCATACTTTAAAATTTGCGAGGCTATATATAACCCACAATTGTTGTCTATTTTTTATCGTTTCGATCCAGTGATAATTAAATATGCGAAATTAAAAATTTACGATTTTCATAGGCTATAATCCATAATTTTTTGTCCATTTTGATGGTAACTAATTGCGGCTACTTCAAAATTCACGATTTTCATGTGCAGTCCATTTTTTTTCCCTTTCATTTTGTCCCAATGGTTATTAATTATGCATACTTTAAAGTTCACATTTTTTCTTAGGCTATAATTCACGATTTTTATGACTGTAACCAAAAAAATTATCCATTTCTGTTCATTACGACCAATAGTAATTAACCTTCTTTATTCAAAATTCTGGATTTTCATGGGTTATTCATGAGTTATGTCCATTTCATTCATTTTGACCCAATGTTAGTCAAATATGAGTACTTTAAAATTCGTGATTTTCATTGAATAGAACCCACCATTTTATCAATTTTTGTTAGCTTCAACGCAATGACAACTAATTGTGAGTACGAACTACATACAATTAATTACTATTTGGTCGAAACGAACATAAATGAAAAAAATTGTAAAGTATAGCTAATGAATTTTTTTAAATTTGAAGGACACAATCACATAACCCATGGTTGTTGTTTGTTTCCATTTGCTTCGATCTAGTAACAATTAAGTATCCCTATTTCAACATTCCTGATATTCGTAACTGTAGCCCAATATTTTTTTAATCTATTTTTATTCGTTTCAACCTAATAACAATTAAATATGTATATTTAAAACTCACAATTTTCATGACCTATATCCATGATTTTTATCTATTTTTCTGCAATTCGACTCAATGCAATTTAATATTCTATCTTAAAAATTCATGATATTCATGCGTTAACTCACAATTTTTGTATGTTTTTCATTTGTTTCAGCCTAATAGTAATTGAAACTTTTATTCAAAATTTGTGATTTTCATGGATCATAATTCACGATTCATATCTATTATTTTTTGTTTCAAATTAATGGAAATTAATTATATGTATTTCAAAATTCACAATTTCATAGATTACAACCAACAATTTTTTTATGGTTGTTCGTTTTGACCCAATAAGCGTTAATTTTGTGTACTTCAAAAAATTTTGTGATTTTAATGGATTATAACCAATGATTTTTTTTTTCTCAATTCTTTATTTTAACCAAATCATAATTAGTTATGCATACTTCAAATTCGTGATTTTTATTGATTATAATCCATAAATTTTATTTATTTATGTTCGTTTCGACCCATGGAAATCAATTGTGTAGTTCAATGTTAACGATTTTCATGGGCTATAACTCATGATTGTTATCCATTTTTATTCATTTTAATCCAATGACAATTAATTATGTGTAGTTTAAAATTTATAATTTTCATTTGTTATGACTTAATAAAAATTAATTATACACACTCTAAAATTGGCAATTTCATTGGCTTGAACCCGTGATTTTGTTAGTTTCTGTTTGTTTCGACCTAATTGTAATTAATTATGCACACTTTAAATTTCACGATTTTTATTGGGTAGAATCCACAACTTTTTCTATTTTTCTTTATTTCAACTGAACTTCTTCAAAATAGCAATTCTCATCGGTTATAATCCACGAATTTGTTTTATTTTTGTTCTTTTGATGAAATAGCAATTATGTTTTTTTCCTTCAAAATCCATGATTATAAGCACTATAACTCATGTTTTTTTTAATTTCTTTCGATTCGACCTAACGACATTACTCATTTCTATCTAATGACAACTAATTGTGCATACTTTAAAATCCATGATTTTTATGAGCTAGAATGCAAAATTTTTGTTTGTTTGGACGTAATAAAAATTAATTATGCGTAACTTAAAAATGGTGATTTTTATAGGTTATATGATTTTTGTCAATTTTTTTCTTTTCGACCCAATGATAATTAACTATGCGATGTTCGGACTATAATCCACGATTGTTGTTCATTGTTCTCCATTTGCTCTCAATGCATTCAAGTTTTATTTCTTAAAAACTCACGATTTATATGGGTTATAACCCATGATTTTTGTTCGTACTCATTCATTTCGACCCAATAGTAATTAAATTTTATTTACTAAAACTTCACGATATTCGTTAGCTATATAATTCACGATTTTTGTCAATTTTTTTTTATTTCAAATTAGTGGAAATTAGTTATAGTTACTTCAAGATATGCAATTTTGTGGATTGCATCACACGCTTTTCTGTTCGTTTTCATTCGTTTAGACCCAATAATTACACTTACTGCAAAATATGTAATTTCCATGGGTTACAACCCATGATGTTTATCACTTTTCATTTATTTTGACCTAATGTTATGTGTACTTCTAATTCACGATTCTTCTCATGTGGTTATAACCCATGATTTTCATCCATTTATATTCCTTTCAACCCACTGGCAATTAACTTTGCGTAGTTCAAAATTTGTAATTTTTATTGGCTATAATCTGGGCTATAATCTAAAATTTTATCCATTTTGTTCATTTTGACCCAATAACAAATATTGTGTAACTAAAATAATCGAGATTTTCATAGGCTATAACCAGAAATCATTTTCCATTTTTTATCCATTTTTTTCATTTTGACCCAATAACAAAATATTGTGTTACTAAAATAATCGATTTTCAAAAGCTATAACCAGAAATCATTTTCCATTTTTGTGAATTTTGAATATCAATTAATTATGTATGTGTTAGAATCCGTAATTTCTATGGGTTATAATCCACGATTTTCGTCTCTATATATTCTTTTCATCGTAATAGTTCTTAACCATTTGTAGTTCAAAATTCACGATTTTCATAGACTGTATAGCCCACGGTTGTTCATCTGCCTGCCTCCACCATCCATGGGGCATTCGATGGCCGGAGGGATCTTATGTTGGTCAGTCATTCGTACGTCATTAGTCATGATTCTACGTTCTCCTATCCGCTATTTACTTCCGGTACTTCCACGAGGTCAAAGCAAAAAAAAAAAAAAAAAAAAAAAAAAAAAAAAAAAATTCTCACTAGAAGATGACCGAGAGCAAAAGCAGAGCAGTTCTTGGAAAATCCAGTCAAAACTCCAAAAATAACTACTATACCGTCCACACCATAGCAGAAGCCTAGCACAGGCGTGACAAGATTGCTACAAACACAGACGCAAGGGATGTATAGAAGATTCAACCGTCCCCATCCCCATTAGTAAAGACATACTCCGCACCCCAAAAGTCGGAAAACTTCAATTCACCGGACACAACATCCCAAAAGTCGTGAAAAACAGCTACAACCATCAAAACCCCAAAACAAAGAACGATAAAAAATAATTCTGAAACTCAAAATCAAATCTAGCATGAGATACAGCCACTAAGACATACACCCGTCCTCCCATTTCACCTGACGGTGACTATATCGTCGATCTTGAGGATCATTCTTACACATTCTGCGGCAAGGGTGATGGCGCTTGTGCTAACTAGCAAAGGCTGAACAACATTCTCCTCCAAGATGTTGGTGATCTGTCCCTTCCTCACATTGATCCCAGCATTGATTTCCCCTTGTGCATGTCGGTTCCTCAGCTCTGTCACGATGACTATTGGGTTCAGTCCGGCATTCTCCGCCAAGGTGTAGGGGACGACCTCCAGCGCCTCTGCAAACTCCTTAATGCAGTAACTTTCCATCCCAAGCAGCTCTTTCGCCCACGCCCCAAGTTGCCGGGACATCTCTATTTCTGGAGCACCCCCACCCGCAATCAAATACTTCTTGTTTACCAAACACCTGCAACGCAATATTAAAGATGCAATGGTGAAGTCCCCCGATTTGAAAGTTTTTGACAATGAGAAAATTATGTGTGCATGCTTGTGAAGTGGCGGAATCAATTAAGAAAATAACAATTAAGAGATAAAAGGGGTTGTACAATTTGTGGAAATACATGCATGCATAAAGGGGACAAGAATACATTCAATAAAGCAACTATACGGAGTATCTCGAACTCCAAAGACAAGGCAGGAAGAATGACATATGAGTGATGAACCCTAGATCAAGAAATGATAATTGCAACAAAAGGTAATCACTGACAATACGAAGCAACCCAACTCAAGATGGTGCAAATGTATGTTTAGAACTCAACACTTAATAGTCAAATCTAAGATATAAAAACAATCAGATTTACCAGCCAACAAATCAAGCCCATCGTGAGGAACTACTTCAAACAGGAACAGAAATCGAAGCAAACACATTCTGCAGATATTTTCTGTGCTTCGCCCAGATATATAGAAAATTTTCAAAAGCAATTCATCGAACGCAGAATTACAAATAGTAAAATCAAACCATATGCAACAAACAATGAACATCTTTCCCACTGCAATAAAGATGGAAAGAAGATGCATGAGAATAACATGAAAAACCAAGTTCCTAGATGTGCCAGAGACGCATGAATGCTAGAAACATACAAAATGCCGAAGATAGATACAACAAAAGGGAGACAAAATAAACAATAAACTGTAATAAAGATGAAAGCTTGATAAGGCTACAGAAGATTATAGCCTAGGTATCACAGAATGACAAGAAAAGCATATGATTTTTAAACCCATCATGGATCTTTGAGAAATGAGGTTTTGAAAAGAAAGATAATGACCTGAACTACAACTTCTAAAACTGGACCACCAAATCCATTCCTTCAGTAGCATAAACAACTGGGAAAAAAAGAATAAAAAAAGACAAAGGGAAATGAGGTAGGGTTCGTCATTCTTAATCAGAAACCACGCGCATTGTACAAGGAGCAAAATCATACATCAACAGGATACTAATCCAAGATTCCAGATCATCAAACTCTCAGTAAATATTGAAAATATTTGGATCCACTGAGGAAACTAGTCCATTCTTTCCTTTTTTTCATATATGAGGATGTTCCACTGGAATCTAGAATAGAAATGCAGAGAAGGTGTAATTTTTTTAGACGATTCTATAATCTACGTAAAAAAGGCCTAGAAAGGGAAGTCCTGAACAACAACTGTAAGGTACCAATCCCAACCTCAAGCCACAGAGATCCAGAAAGAAGATACGCTCATAAAGAGCATATACTAAGAGCTGGTTATTTCGTGCAATAGCCTTCATCAAAAGAAGCATCTCTTAGACTCTTGCAGGATCTTTACAAAACAAGTACTCTAATCTTAAAACCTAACTTATGGGAAAGAGGTGCACTACCTCTTAATTTCCAGACGAAGGGCTATTATATATCTTGTGTCAACTAAGGAATTCAAAGAATATAATTCGTTTAACAGATGAGAAGTAAACTTATTATATATACACAAGGTATTTCAGGGGTTCAAAAAACATGATCTATTAAGGAGGTTGGTATATACATAGTAAACACATAGCATGCACCTGTTGCAAGTTTTCGGCAACATAAATTTTGATCCTTGCATCCCATCTTCCTAATAAGATTTTAATCCCCGTCCTGCAGTCTTTGTCCTTCTTACAACACCGGCTCTTTTGTACAAGATGTTTTTTTTTTCTTGACAAAAGCGTGCCAGCTCTTTTGTAATTCTACTCTACATTTGCCACACATCAACAATGAAGCTTCTGTTCCAATTCACGTATGCTACAAGAAGAATTTTCTTCCATTCAGCTCCACAAATAGCGATACTGTGAAGTAAATCAACCATTAATAACATATCCTCTTCTCAATTACCTCTATTGAAGTCTCTGCTTAGACCTCCCTACAGTACATGTTGCTCCATCAACTGTGATATTATTACTTTTCATGCACTAATTGGCGTACACTGTCCAACAAATCATCATAATCAGTTCTACTGTCTTATCCTCATAAGAGCAACCACTGAAATCTTATGGGCAAATTTTACCTTATCCTATTTCTTGGTATATTATCATCCATCTTAGCACTCTCCTATCTCTTTGCGACTACTCACTTTTGGAACAATTTTCTTAACTGTCTATCATTGTGGCCCACAAAGCATTATTGATATTATAGTTGCTGTATAGAAATTTACCTTCAATATCATGGACATTCTACACAGTAAATACTGTTAAGTGTTTCTCCAATTTAACTATCATGCTTCCATTCTATGAATTAGCATGTAACTGGTACAGAATGATGAAATCCAGCTGACACAACCAGAAAATGTGGGTTATGAAAGCTTTGTAACTAATTTTAAACCAAACCAGAAGTTTATGTTTTGTAATATGATAATATCCATATTTTTATTTATTGATCCATTATAAATATAATGAACTTATATTTTCTGCAAGAATAGAACTATGATGTTATATTGTGATAAAATAAAGAATGTTCAAAACTAAAAATTAGAAGGGGTTTTGTGTGAATTATTGGACATTTGTCAAATGTATAATAGAATGGTGGCAGTGACATGGCAAGTAGGGAGTGGTGAAGGATGCTTATCCCTTTGCACCTCATTATATGTTTCCTAAGGAGCAAGAGAAAAATAAAAAGTGTTATGAAATACTCAGATAACATTGTTGATTATAGTAGTATAAGGGGACAACCATATAGTAATTAAGGCGGGTCCATACCACCAACCTAAAATACCGAAGCCACACTATATCTAAGACTCCCACTCAAGCTGGAGAATAGATATCTATCATGCCAGGTTGCTACACAAAATAGAGAACACATAAGAAGAAGCCTAGTGAGAATATCCATCAACTGCTCTGAAGAGGTAGTAAACGGAGTGTAGATCACCTCTTTCATTACAATATCCCCAATTAGATAACAATCAATAGTTATGTGCTTCGTCTTTTCAAGGGAAACATCATTCTTGGTTATATAGACAGCAGGTTGATTATCGCAACACATGGGCATCGGTCTTGGCTGAACAAATCCAAGCTCTGTCATCAAATTCTTCAACCACAACATCTCCCAAGTAGTATGCACGATCACTCTATTTAACTTCAGCACTAAACCAAGATACCACTTCCTGCTTCCTACTTCTCCAGAGAGGGCAGTCTAAGGAGCCCCTAAGTTTTATGTCCTATTTCTAAAAAGCGCCGAACCTTTTTTTCTTGACAAAGAAACCCTAAAGTTTTACCTCTCTCTTCTAATAAGCCCTCAACTTTCTTCTTTTGATAATGAAGCCCTTAAGTTTCATTCCTCTCTTCTAAGAGGCCCAAGTTTTCTTATTAATTTAGGGCTTACTTGCACTAAATAGCCTATAGTTTTCCTACGTTGCACTTAAATATCCTCATTTGTTTTTCCACAGTACTTATATACCCTAGAGTGTTTAAAACTCACTTGCTTTTGGAAGTGTACTTATATACCATAAGGTTTTTAAAACTTGCAGTTATATACCCTATGATTTTTTTTAAATGCCCTAAAGTTTATAGAACTTGCACTTAAACATCTTCAAGTTCACATAACTAAGGTATTTAAGTGCAAGTTTAAAAAATCTTAGGATATTTCCGTGCACATTTTTAAAACTTTTGGGATATTAGTGATGGTAAAAGCAAGTGAAGATATATAAGTGAAAAGTAGGGGAAACTATAAAATATTTAAGTGCAATTAAGCCTTAAACTAGGGACTTTGTTGTCACAAAAAGAAAGTTGGGTGCTTCTTAAAAAGAAGGGGTAAATTTAGGGGCTTAGTTTTCAAAAAAAAGATTAAGGGTTTCTTAGACGAGTGGTAAAACTTAAGGGCTTATTTGTCAAAATAAAAAGTTAAGGGCTTCTTAGAAAAGAGAGGTAAAACTCAATGGCTCTTTACAATATCTTCTTCACTTCTCTAAGTTACTAGATTACTACTAACAAATGTACAATATTCCAGTGATAACTTTTTGTCCCTCTTATCTCCAATGTAGCTTGAGTCTGAAGACTCTGAATAAGCAAAGATTTGCTCATGTCAATGCTTCTTATACAGTAAGCTTTTGATATAAGCAAGAATCCTCATAGGCTCATAGCTACTCTCTAGTGAACCTATCCAGGCAGGGATGTACATAAACTGACCCAAAAGTGCCACAACAAAGGATGAGGTTGAATGACAATAAAATAGATCCGCTTGCCAATCAGCCTCCTACGATGTTTGGCGTCCTCAAAAGATAGCTTTCCCTGTTCAATATAGCGTGGTATAGTCATTAGATTAGTGAGTATGGATCCACTTTAATTGCTATCTGGTTTTATCCCCATATACTACTCTCTAATCAATAATATTATCAAGTATTTAATAACAGGATCAAAGTAACTGTTATGAAATACAACTCAATCTCAATCCTTCCATCTCAAAAACAACTAAATCTCCACCCTTCTTTTCAAAGTAAACCACACTATATCTAATAAGAAAGAGAAAGTAGCAAGCCAAGGATAAGAAATAACTTGTCACACCCCAATATCTTACGAGAACCTTTTCCTGGGGTTGCATGACTCGGTGCTGCCAGTCAATCAATAATGATTTCGTCCAATATATCTCTGTTAATTCCAATGCAACACCTAAATAAACACGTCAAATAATTCATATAATTGCAAGAAAGATAAACGTCCTCTGCTCCAACTAGATTAACATTCTTTCACCAATTTTAATCAAAAATTATAAGCTCATAACCAATACTCAATAGCTAGTACTCAAGAACTTCATTGTATGCTTAAAAATCATTGCTACTTCAAATTCTATAGCATAATCTAGACAGTAAATGCCAAATACTCCAATCATCCAAATACATGTCAAACATTCTAGCTACACATAAATGCATACACATGCAAACAAGTGTGTAGTAGTGATAAAAAACAAAGGGTTCACCTTATCGCCTAGCAAAATTCATGATCCGTTAAGGCATATGATCAATAGCGAACCTGCTTTGAAATATTAACAAGGAATGGAATAAGTACAACTGTCCACTTCCTAAATTCTACGAGACAATGTTTTCATATGCACCAATAAAATCTTATCTTTGTATTTCTCTTGCTCTTGCACGTCTTCTCTTTTTTTCCTTTCTTGCACCTTAAGAAAAGAAAAATAAGGGGAGAAGGGATAAATATCTCTCCCCACCTCCTACTTGCCATGGAACATGCATCTTCCTATCTCCTTTCGTCTCTTGTTACCTCAACCATTTTATTATACATTAAACACATGTCCACTAATTTTTACACAAAACCCTGCTACAATTCATTTTTGCACATTCTTTATTTTAGAAACTAAATTTGTTTTAGACACAAGCATTTCTGCTCATTGTGTTGCCAACATATTCTTTCTAAAAGTTTCATTTCTCTGGCTTATAAGTTGATGTCATGATAGTTATATCCCTTCTTTGTTATATATAAGTATCAGATATCGACATTACTATTATAGGGAAATTTTTCCGTAAATAAAATTTGTTGAATAATGAAGTTGCCCATAATAAGAGGAATATCATGTCCTACAAACAAGCTTGTGGAAAGCAGAAAGCATAGCGAATCGGTGATGCACCACTAAGGCTATTTGGGGGCTTTAGAGCAAAAAATGTCAAAAAGCGCAAAAATAAAAAAGTGGGCCAATTTAAATATGTATAATATTTAAAAAAAGGAAAATTCAAAAAAATTTAAGAATTCTATAAATACATATTTGATTATTTATAGCGGTCTCTAGCATGAAATAGACATATAACAATCACACAATATTAATGAATTACTGTACAAAATGAGACAGAAACTTCGAGATGGTGTTGGTGCTTCAAAGAGAGGTGGAGGTGAAGTTGGGGGATATATGGGAGCTTCACAATGAACAGAAAGGAGGATTGACAAGCTTCGAGGAAGAACAAGAAGGATGTGGAGCGACGTGGAGCTTCAAAGACGAGAAGATGATGAGAGACGTTGTAGCTTTAACAATGAGAGGCAGTGGAAGGAGCTTTAACAATGAGGATGGTGGAGTTCTAACGATCTTCGACGACGAGAGGTGGTGACGACGATTTTTGTTTAGGATTTATTTTGGGTTTGAACATCGGAGAGAGAGGGGATTGGGAAAAGAAATGATTTTTAATATAAAAATGGAGCGGTTATGAAATAAGTTGGGTCAGGGTTAAGTACAAACCGATAATTTGTATTTTAAAGAGCTGAAAAGCGCTTTTCAGCTCTTTTACGCGTTATTGGTCGCTGTTTCAAGCTAATAGCACTGATGCCGCTACAAATCACCGCTTCCGAGCATAGCAGTGCAAGCATAGGTTGCTACCGGCATTACGATTGCTATTGTGCCACTATTTACAACACTGCCTACAAATTATCTAATTTTCATTATAGTTAGCCAACAGACCTTCCTTAACTTCACTACACCTACTTACTCAACAACATACCAGCTTACTGTCATTACTTGAATAGCTTCATTCTACAATTCTAATTTTTGTTTTCTTGTGTTAGCTCGTCAATACTCTTTGAAACCTCTGTTATTTACCAAGGTTGCTGATAGCGGATCGCGGCGCGGCGCGGCGCGGTGAGGTACCGCCAAGGCTATATAGGGCTATTGCGGCGAAATCGCGGCAAATAGCGCACAGTCAAATAGCGGTCAAATTTAAATATATTTAAATATCCTAAATAATAAGAAAATTCATAAAAAAATCTAAAAATTCAATTAGTTGTAAATTTCTTGTATTATCAATAAATAATAATTAATAAGCTTGTTGTATGAATGAAACTATAAAGAAATTCAAGAAATATAGCATCAAAATATGTGTGATAGCGGGTTTAGCCGCTTTTAACAACAAAAATCCGCTTTTAACCGCGAAAATCCGCTTTTAACAGCGAAAACCTGCTTTTAACCGCGAAAACCCGCTTTTAGCCCGCTAAAATCCGCTTTTACGCGCTATTCGAATGAATAGCGGATTTTCCCGCTTAAGCCAGCCGCGAAACCCCTACGCGTAGCGCTGAAGGGCCGCGACCGCTATTCGCGCCGCTATAGCCCCGCTATTGGCCGCTATTTACAACACTGTTATTTACTAATAGCCTTTGATCTTCATTCGTAAGATATGGACATTGCCTAGACATCAATGATTTCTTTCTCTCATCTCAGCGAGCTTAATATGTATACTACACCTAAGTCATTGGATGGTGATTTCAGTAGCCTGTCAAACAGTCGCCTCTAAGAAAATCATATGCTCATATAACCTTAAATCTTATGCATGATTCAAAAATATCTTGAACTAGTCACAATAAAAGGCTATGCAAAGTATGAGTAGATAGCAAGCGCAGAATGGCTCAGCAATTACTGTATAGACTTCCTCATAGTTGCAACTTGATTTTTGTGCCATCAAATCTTATAGTTAGCCCTGATACTGATATAGCTACTAAAACATTTTGAATAAAACAATATTAAAATATATAGACAGGAATTAAAAAACCAGGACAAAATTGTTGCAAGCAATCACCTGACAACACAGAGGGCATCATGAAGACTACGCTCTGCCTCATCGATCACAAGCTGATTCGACCCCCTCACAAGCACAGTAGTAGTCCTTCCCATATCCTTAATCCCAGTAATCTTCACAATCTTTCCATCCCCAATCGAAACCTCTTCGACACACCCTGCAAACCCTAGTTTCTCCTCCCTAAAATGCTCGATATTTGCAATGGGCAAACAGTTTAGTGTCTTGGTGATGAACTCAATGTCATCCCTTTCCACATCCTTAATCACCAAAATCTTCGCCTTGGCAAGATAATGCAGTGACAGATCAGTCACAGCGTCCCTCAGAATACTCTTCTGAATCAAAAGCACATTGCACCCAGTTGCCTTTATCTTCTTCACCATCCCCAATATATAGTTCCTCTCCTCCCTCAAGATTCGATCCATCTGAGTATAATCAGATACAACAATGCTCTGCTCGATATCAGTCTTGGGCGGCGAGATCTGGAACTGAATGACAGCGATCTTCGCATTCTCAACACGAGTCAGGCCACCAGAAGCATGGCTGACCTTCTTATCAAAAACCAGTCCCTTCACAAGCTCAGTATCATCAACCGTCCCACCCAATTTCTTGACGATCTTAACATCACGAAGATCGACGAGATCAGGATGAGCAGGATCGACGACAGAGAGCACGGCCTCGACTGCAAGTGGAGCAAGAAGGTTGGAGTACTGGCTGAC